TTAGTGCTACGCGCATCGACGTATCCCTCCAAAGACCTTCCCGGATGATGTTGCGCGTCTGCATCGGCCCAAGGGTCCATTCTAGCCTGCTGCATATAATGGTACAATATGGTGTATGCATGGTTGTCATGTTCGCCATGGTCTCGAGGAGCTGTTTGTTATCGTCTGTTTGCAGTCGTCTTGCCGTCAAACACGCCGGGTTGCATAGAGAACAACCTTCAACCACATGGCCGACAAAAACACGACCATCCACGATCCACGTGTGAGGGACGGCCACAACATCGGTAGCCCGGTGTCGATTGGTGCAGGCCAGTTCAACGTAGAATGATAAGTAATAACACTCGGTATCAACCCAGACAGACATACACACCTTGTCCAGCATCAACTTCTCAGGTGCCATTCTTCGCGAGGACCGGCAAGACAATCTGAAGCATAGTTAGTTGTACTCCGTATCTCGGCCAGATGATCCTTCCACAAGTCCTCATTCGCAAAGCACCGGTATGAAAGTGCTGGACCGTGCATTTCCGTTTTCAAAGCCAAATCGGCGGACCCAGGATTAAACAGTCGTGCTACCCAAGCTACCGTATCATTCACCCACCCTTCTGCCACGATTGAGACATGTTTTCCTCTTGACACGAAGACTTGTGGAAGCCAGGAAGCCAGCGGTCCCCTCCGTTGCCTTCCTGTAACACGAAGCTGCCTTGCGGCCACCCGTTGATTTTACAGCGGCTAGTATCAATAGGTGACTCTCATGTCACATCAGCTGCACACGGATACCAACTTAACCGTTCATAGCGCCGCCACCTTGTCCAAAGAGGCGTTGATTAAATTGTTTCAATGATGATGTGATAACTGCCGATACTCAGGGAAATTTATGGGCTTATTTCTCCGCATTTCGCACGTCTGGCTGTGGCACGGATTGTGAGAGTATTATTGTCTGGTGCTCAAAGACTGTCCGTAGGCATCAACACCGTAGCCAATAATCTGTCAATGGCGGCTTTGACCGAGGACCCAAAAAAAAAAGGACCAAGCCGTCGCACAGGTACTTCAAGCGAGCGTGTGGTGACATAAGCACAGAACAAAAAAAAATTAAAAAAAAAAAAAAAAGAAAGAAACTTCACAATGAGTTTGGGGCAAGCTTGTGCCTCTGCGAACATTGCTCGTGGAAATGAGGTCTGTTGTTAGCGGGTTGCAATATGTCTGGTCAATGTGTCGATGGGAGTCAACGTCTAGTGTAGAAGACAGCTCGTGGGTTCCCAAGTACTTGTACGGAGTACTTTAGCACTGATTGGACGAAACCAACTTCGCTTAACGGGAGCAGGAAGCATTTAACATTCAAGGAAGGCACAACCGTAACCTTTTCTCTTCCCTTTTTGCAATCTCGAATCGTAACCAAAACTTTTTTCCGCACGTACGGGCAACAAGTCAGAGGAGATCGTAGCAGCAACTGGTCCTCTCCCGCCAGTCTTTCCGCCAGTCTCTCGGCCTCCTCCCTCCTCGTATCCGCGGCATCTTATTTGATAGACTGGAGAGCATGCATTGGCTTGCCTAGCTTGGATCTGAGACGACTCCTCGTGGCCAAGACTAGCTTCATCCATCCATAAACGCAACACGCACCCTGGTCACCATGCAAAACCCAACTACGGAGCTATGCCGAGCCCCATTCCTTCTGGAGCTCCATCGCCGCGTGGTGTGTGGCAAAATAACAAACACACTGTTCTCCTCATTGCTGGCTGTTTCTAACCCCACAGCACGCATGGGGATGAAGGGCTGGAGATTTATCCTGCTTTGCCTGTTTGTCTGTTTTCTTGCCTGCAGACCAAAGCGAGGAAACGCCGACTTACATGCATATGCAAGAAATGAGTCAACATTGTACGTACAGAAATCCGCATTTTGACGAGTGAGCGACGCTGACCAACGGTATCACGGTTTTCAGTTGGTGCGGCAGATCCAGGCTAGATCTGACGACAACTTGTGGGGCAACAAGGGCCATGGGTGGTTTTATACTTAACTTGGACCTCTAATGGCCCTTTGCTCGAGTCCAGAAAAGTGAAGCTAGCCAGATTATGGCCTCGTCTCGTCGCCATTGGATTGTAGGCACCATTCGTGTCCTCCAGATGGCGTGATTTTGGCAGGAGCAAGAAAAGAAGAACGCAAATTTATCCGCATAACGAAAGGACGAGATGAATTGCTGGCAGGTCAATTCAGCAACACGATAATGCTGGCCACCAACACTGGGCTTCAGGCCCCCCTGTTGATTTGCTCCGAGTCTATCACGCCAAGCACAATCCATGTATACCAAGATCGAATGGACACTCTCGGGCGTGGGACAGCAATACCGTAGGTCCTGGACCAAGTACAACAATACAGGAGAGTTCGCAAAGGTTCAGTTACAGCCCGGCAAACTGCTCTTATCCCGTTCAGCTTACGGAGTATTTAGAATGCCGTCTTTTTCATCAGAGGTGTTTGTAATAGTCCTGAGCAAAGAAGACTGTCTTGAGAACGTCGGCGCTGAGAGCCGCCGAACAAGGCAAATCTGGTCGTGATGGGCGGTTGGTGCTAACGTGCGAAGGCTTTCAATCCATGCTTGCACTATCGGTCCAGCTCGGCAGGGGGTAATAGAGATAGAGGCTCCATTTAGATTGCAATGGTCCACTACTCGATAATACTGAGGGCAACGTGAGAACTCTTTTGTGTTCCACATGGCAAGAGAATCAGAATGATTATCTACGACTACGTATTTGATTCAGTTATACAATTCAACTTTGCCTCAAGCGCGTCAAACCATACCGAAGCGGGAATCGATTCATCAAATACTCGAAAAAAACTGAGCATGATACCGACCAGGTCCCACCTTTACAATCCACCAGGAAGAGCCCGGATTGCCTGCGACATGAAGCGAGGCCAATTTTCCTTGTCAACCTGTGTCAAGTGGCAATTGTGGCAAGCCAGGCTGCAAATGCATCAACTGGTGCTGTGGCATTGCAATCAGAAGGAGCTCTCTCATACGGCGGCCGCGAGGTTCCAAGCAACAAAGCCAGGCCAGTTCTTGCGCATGGCAAACATGTTTTGAGTGTTCAGATCTCCGGCTGGTTTGCTAATAAGTTATCAAAGTCCTTGGTCTTGAATGTGGGAACGAGGTACTAGCAATGCTGGGGCAAAAACGATCCCATTCTCACTTTGTCAGATGCAGACGCCGTTGATAACGAGAATAGCCCGAATACGGAGCTCCGTTGATGGTGGGAATAAATTGGGATAAGTTGTCTCCGCCGAAGGAAACAAACTATGATAACCACCTGTTTGATTCGACAATGCACACCTCGCAAGGTTCACTGGGGTATGCAGGACGTATGTACGGCATGCAGAATCGGGACGCCGACATAATAACCACACACAGTGGTCCGCCAGCAGGCTGTGAGTCTCATCTCTCATTGGAGACGCGGTTATTGTCGTCTCCCAGTCCAAGACCACTCTAACCAGGCGACTGACTGGCGAAGGATTTCGGAAGGACGGCGGTATTCTCCACCTTGTTGCCGCCAAGGCCAAACGAAAGTTTCCACATCTCACTCAGCAAGGAGGATCCCTGGCGGATTGACAACTCGTTCTTTCTATTTGTGTCAATCAGGCAAAAGTGTGTGTGACTTGCATAAGTCGGCGTATGTACGGTGTTCCCGCCGCTCTGGTATTGGTAACCCAGCAGGCGCCATTATTGGATCCATCCAGGCCGCTCGGCCATATTCAATTGGGGAAGTTCGGGGTAACGCGACACGATACGCGAAATGAACGCGCCGGTAATTAAGGTTCGGGGCTTGTGATTGGTCCGCAAAGGTTCGGGTGGCTTGCCAAAGTTGGACTCGTAGGCAATTACATTGCCCTGCTTGTGACGACATGTGCGGGTACTACAATGAGGAACGAACTGATTTCGTTGATAAAATGAACGGAAGATGGGCCGGGGTTTGTGGGCCAGATCGAATTGCCATGGTGTTCTCGGTCGATTCGGCATGCGGTGTCTTGCCGAATTAGTGAAAGGTGAGTTGAAAAATTGGCTGGCAAAAGGTTCTTTTCCATGTAGGGTAACTGGAGATTCTTCAACCAATACTCATGGAGTTCTTTATGCCAGAATAATTCAAAATCAGAATTCCTGTAGGGGGATACGTTTTCATTTTAAGATGATGGCTCTCCTCATGTGTCTACTTATGGTCTTGCCAGGGACAGTTATTTCGACAGTCATAAAAACCATAGTGGTTGGCTCGAGCAATTACACAATGCTGATCTTGAACGTGGTGTTTGCGTCTCGTCATCAGACAGAGCCCATGTACCAATTCATCCGACCATGCCTCCGATATGATTGATTATAGCTGACGGCTTGCCCTCATCCGTGTTCCTGCAGTTCCGGTCGCCGTGGCGAGAAAGTTTGCATTGTGGAGTGATAGCACGGCGCTGGTGCCAGGTACCGATTGAGACGGTAACACTCTGGCTGGTAATTCCACACGTGGCTGATTGTGGAGGAATGTTTATCCCAACCACCTCTGCTGTTTTGGACTTCGTATGTTGTGAATGTGTAGGTAAACCTGCCCTGCTTGGCCCGGCCGACGTTCCCCATCCATCTACATGGATCACCCTCATGTGATGATATGAATATAGATACCAAGAATATCTAGATGAAATCGAAAACAACGGAATGGGAGAAAATATCCAGTATCATACCAGGAATATAAACGACAGAAGCATTCAGGAAATGTCCAACTATTTTCCAATTCCGCAGCTATTTTAGCCGCGCGGGTGGAAAATCGATGTAGGGTAGGTGGGAATATTAACGGTCGCCGAGAGTTCTGCCGGACCGAAACGGGCCGTCAGAGGACCCCACTATGCACCACCGCCGAAGGCTCTGGCGGGGCATAGACGTCTGAAAACTCCAGATTGAAGCTGAATAGCTAGTAGCCTACGCTCGAAAGCAACGTCTCCTGCTCCAAATCGCATGTGGATCAACAATATACAGGATGGAAGCCGATATTAGAGCTGTGCTTCCAAACATCGATCCCGTGGTCTCAGACTACTCCGTCGGTTACCTGACGCACGCTTCAACAGCCTGGACCGACGATGAAGAGACATCTGGTCTGTCACCTCTTAGCGAAGCTGCCGCCGCCATTACCGAACTACTTCTCTCCGCTTCCGGCGATTTTAATCCATCCGTCGAGGAAAAGGTCAAGCAGCTCGTGGAGAAATGGGTCGACAAGTACGCCGAAGCAAACGGGGGTCAGCGCATAGGACCTTCCATAGCCAGGCGCTTAGACCAGACCATCCAAGTTAGCACACAGCGTAACATGTCGTCAACGCTGGCCGTGGCCACTGGCGGTGTTGATCTAGAGCAGGCCAATGCCAGAAAAGTCGAATCGAAGGTCGATCGGAAGAAGCTCGAAAAAGCGGAGCGCAAGATTGCTGCCAAGCAACAGAAGAAGACGTTCAAGGTTGTAGAGTATGAGGCATCAAGACTGTTGGACCAGCCGGAGAATACGCAGTCGTACGAAGAGTTCTACATGGCCGTCAACCCTCTTCAAATTGGCAGCTCCGGCGCAAACAAGACCAAGGACGTCAAACTGGACAATATTGATGTGTCGATTGGCGGCAATAGGATTCTTACGGATACTACTCTTACCCTTGCCTATGGTCATCGTTATGGTTTGGTTGGTAATAACGGTGTGGGTAAATCTACGCTTTTGCGGGCTCTGTCAAGGAGAGAGGTTGCCATTCCCACGCACATATCCATTCTACACGTGGAGCAAGAAGTAAGTCTGACTAACCGTACTTGAGCCTTGAGAAGCGCAAAGCATGCTAATCGACTGTACAGATTACTGGAGACGATACACCTGCCCTGCAAGCAGTTCTTGATGCTGATGTCTGGCGGAAAGTTCTCCTGAGAGAACAGGAGGTATGTACCCAGCTCTAGTTCAAAAGATGTACCGTCCAGCGGCTAATACACCGTGTAGGAACTCACTGCTAGCTTGGCTGAGCTGGAGGCTCGGCGAGCGCCCCTTGCTGATACGTCCGCCGATGCTGCCAAGCTCGATCGCGAAAAGGAAGCCAAGGATAGTAAACTGGGAGATATCCAGTCGAAATTGGCCGAGATGGAATCTGATAAAGCAGAATCTCGAGCAGCCAGTATTCTAGCAGGTCTTGGGTTTTCTCCCGAGAGACAAAAATACGCCACCAAGACGTTCTCTGGTGGTTGGCGAATGCGTCTCGCGCTCGCCCGTGCCCTGTTTTGCGAGCCTGATCTGCTGTTGCTCGACGAACCGTCCAACATGTTGGACGTTCCCTCCATTACCTTCCTTTCCAACTACCTGCAAGGCTATCCCAGCACTGTTCTTGTTGTTTCCCACGACAGAGCATTCCTGAACGAGGTTGCGACCGATATTATTCACCAGCATTCTGAGCGACTCGACTACTACCGTGGCGCAAATTTCGACTCCTTTTACGCCACCCGCGAGGAGCGAAAGAAGGTTGCCAAGAAGGAGTACGAGAACCAAATGGCGCAGAGAGCTCACCTCCAGGCATTCATTGACAAATTCCGTTATAATGCTGCCAAATCATCCGAGGCTCAGTCTCGCATTAAAAAGCTGGAAAAAATGCCTGTCCTCACCCCGCCGGAGTCAGAATACAGTGTAAAGTTCACCTTTCCCGACGTGGAGAAGCTGTCTCCGCCCATTATCCAGATGTCCGAGGTCGACTTTGGATATACAAAGGACAACCCTCTGTTACGAAATGTGGATCTGGATGTTCAACTAGATTCCCGCATCGGCATTGTAGGTCCCAACGGAGCCGGTAAGACGACTGTTCTGAAGCTTCTTATTGGCAAATTGGAAGTGTCCAAGGGTATAGTAACATCCCACCCACGTCTACGTATCGGATTTTTCGCGCAGCACCATGTGGATGCTCTCGACTTGTCACTTAGTGCCGTCAGCTTCATGTCAAAAACGTATCCCGGAAAAACGGACGAGGAATATCGAAGACAGCTGGGAGCCTTTGGCATCACCGGCACCACAGGCTTACAAAAGATGGCTCTGCTGTCTGGAGGACAGAAGTCAAGGGTGGCATTTGCCTGCCTGGCCCTCACCAATCCCCACATCCTCGTACTCGACGAGCCTTCTAACCACCTTGATATCGAAGCTATGGATGCCCTTGCGGAAGCCCTGCAGGCTTTCCAGGGAGGTGTACTCATGGTATCTCACGACGTCACCATGTTGCAGATGGTGTGTACGTCACTGTGGGTGTGTGACAAGGGAACCGTCGAGAAGTTTGATGGCGACGTGCAGGCGTACAAGAAGAGGATCTCGGCTCAGGCGGACGCGGCTGGTGTTGTTAAGGCTCATTAGACCAAAGTTTTAATCTTAGCTACTGGGGATAATGAGAATACTGAGAATCCATTCAATGGTTTGCAGGCTGTCAGAAGTGTCGACGTGGCGGTCAGCTCACCTGATGATGGTTATCCCGGCGTTGCCCCATCATGACTTTGTTTGGCGAGACAAAAGATGGAGGGAATATCAGAAGAACGGGCTCCTTGTATAAACCGCCGTCGGCACTCCTCAGCACGCTGAGCAAGATGTGTACGACGCACGACACTCAGGGAACCGACCCGTCTGAGTGCCGTCGTAAACTGGAGCAGAGGTATCAGAAGTTTGCAGGGAAAAATATTCCAGTCACTCATCTCTCGTGAATCCATTATGCTTGTCGAACGACAACACCGCGAATGGGAATACGGCCACGAGCCTTCTCTGCTCACTACAGTCAGATTGCATTCGGCAATGCAGTCATCACAGATGCCCAACCAAGCCCGCGATAAATTGAATAATGAGCCTGATAGACCTCTGCCCTGCGTTTGGATGAAAATAGAAGCGGCAGGGCTCGTGCGCAATCTCCCCTGTCTTGTCATTCAGCCAACTGCAGCAAGAATTCTACGTGGCAAGACCATTGTTATAGTGACCCAGAGTATGGAACGATTAGGTAGGGAATCTGGAAGGAACTCAACTGCTATGTTAAGCTGGCAGAGCCTCGGGGCACGTGAAGCAGTTATTTACTAATTTAGAGATGAGGCTTGACAGATTTGTTGATTGTACTGTAGATGCTAGCCCGCTGACCACCTCAATGCGAAGCGTGTGGTTTCTGAATGAATTCTCTTTCCAACCGCGTATACCACGGCTGGCGCTTTAGTTTTGCAGCTCGTGTAGATCAGAATGGAGTGTGTTGAGATTTACCATGCTATCTACTAGGTAAGTACCTAGGTAGATGACGACTAGGCTGCCGCACAGCACAATTATTTGGACAGCTTAGACAAAGTGAAAGACTGTTGACTTCCTACATAAAGAGTGGAATCATGCGATGAAGTACAGAGTTATAATACTGCAATTACCGCCTATGATGGACTAGGAAGCTACAAGTAACTACGCGAGGAGCTGTGGACTAGGGAAAAACCTTCAAAGACGATGTGGCCAAAGCATATCAAGGAGCTTATCGCCAGCGTAGCGGAGAAGCGACCAAGGAGAAATCCAAGCCTGCAATTGTGCATCACTAAGAGGAAAGGACACTGTTGCAAGCGATTCCATGCATTCCAGCACTGAGCTGGTGGACCAGGAGCTGACCGATTGCAAGGTTCGAGGTATTGGCCCAGTGGCCTTCCTTGCTTCTCGTCGTAAAATATGTTCCCTACAAGCACGAGCACTGTTCAACGATTGAACCCGATAAGCGTCGTGATAACCGCTCACTAAGTATAGCACTAGTTCATACTCTTCATGAATGGTTTGATCGGAACTACCAGACCGTTTGTCGGGTTGCCGTCTGTACTTACCAGCTGACGCCATCCAATAAACATCTACTCTTTGGAGGGCGGCTCTTGATGTAGAATCCCATATACCGCCGCAAGTAGTTACGAGTTTGTATGTAAATCGTTTCAAATTCTACTCTATATTCATCGGGAATGAATCCACTCATGTTGCAGTAGTTCTGCCGCAGACTTTCGAGACCCTGGATCGATTGTTAGCATGCCCTTAATGAAGTCAATAAGTATATCGACTTCATGATCGAGCATATCCTCGGGCTTTAGAAACGGCTTTGATGTGCCGTTTAGCAAGCGTTCAAGGCTCGTAGATTTCATATTCGGGATGCGTAGAATACTTCCTACAGACAGAGCGTATTAGATAAGCAACATATCGATACTAGAAAGGGATTATACCTTGCGGATCAAAAGAATGCGCTGCGCGACTTCCCTGTCTAATGAAAGGGAGTGGGAAGGGGCCAAGGATCTCGATAATTCTTGCCAAATGGCCATCTTCAGCCGTTCATGTCCCCTTTGCTGAACCTTCACCGGAGAAGAGAACTATTCCTTGGATAAACTCCACAATCTAGCAATTAAATGTCAGAATAGTTCGTATGATGCACAAAATAGTAAACCACTCTTACAAGACATCCGAGACTCCATATGTCAACACCGGTATCCCAGGGGGCGCCGATAGTTACTTCTGGTGCTCTTAAAGCCGGTGACTGGATCAGGTCTGACAGATGATTTTCTCTCCAAGACGCTTTGACACGGTAAGTTTCATATTGTGATGCCTGGGAACGTAGTATACTTACCGACGCCAAAATCAATAATTCTGACATGAGGATGCTTTATTTCAGAAATTGGCAGTGTCGTGATAACCTCACGAAGCGGAGCACCACGTTGGGGATCGGCCATCCGCGGGGGAACTACCGATAGATATTTGGCAATAGCATTGTTCGGGCTTTCCAACTCTAAGAGTATATTTGTTGGTTTTAGATCTACGTATTCAAGGCAAGGGGATGTTAGCAAGGCACAGAAAAGCACGGATATCCACACGATATGTTACGTCATACCAGTATGAATAATACCACACTCTCTGTGAAGGAAATCAAGTCCTAGCAGTAGCTGTTTTGCAATTAACTTCACGGTTTTTTACAGGTAATCTTCCGTCCTCGTATTTAACCGTTTGGAAACCCAGATGGTTTCCTAGTACGTCGAACATGAGGCAAACATGTTCGCCGTTGGGGCCCTTATGCTTGGACTTGCTGAGGAGATGCGACACATGAGCGCGGCCTTCATGAGAACTCTGCCTAGACACTTCACAGATTTTGGAGAGAATCTCCGTCTCGAAAATATCATGGGTGCGACCATAACAGTCAGCTCTCAACATCTTGAGTGCTACATATCTTCGGCATCTATCTCCAGTCAGCTTTGAGTACAATAGCAATGGACGACTTACTTTAAATCTATAGCTAGCCAAAAACTGTAGAGTATTGCCCATGACCCAGTTTCCTCAAGATAGTATACTGGTCATGGTGAAATGTATCCCCAAGGGAGATAGGATGAAACCCGCCAGGTTCGTAATAATCCGGTTCTTCCACGGCTAGACTCGGTTGCACGAACGATTTGAGCTGAGACCGTGGGACAAGTAGCTTCGAAATACGAGACCGTGTTTCTTTTATGATTAAATTCATCGCGCAAAAGATCGCTGTAACATGGTGGTACTATAAAAATGCCACGTCAGAGTGAAGTCCGGGAAGGGTGAGATTTTGTGTGGAGAAAAGGGGGTTCACGTGACGCCAACTTACCGAAACCAAGTTGCAAGCGAACCCTTCGACTAGTATTTGAACAGAGTAACCAGAGTTTCCGGGGATTGCTTTGGACAGTGAGATCATCTAGCAGCTTGATACTCCAGTCAACGACATTACCCTACGCCCACAGTGTGCCTAACTTGCAAGACGACAGGCTTCAGCCACATATAAGGTGACCCATCACTTTCTCAGTGTGGCGGCGGAAGTTGGATCCAGAGTGGGGGGTCAACCTGGTCAACCTCATCAATTGATCTAATCTCCCACGAGCTGCTCCGTCCATTCTCTGTAGTACTACTACGTACTCTCCATTCGATTGGACACATTCTGGTACCCTGCCAGCTTTCGGAGACTGGACATTTTCCAATCGATACGGAGTAGTATGCCGTTGAAGGGGGTTCATTAGACGTCGTATTTTCACCCAAAAGTGTAGGCTTGGAGGTGCCGTCTCACCCTCTGCAAATAGTCAAGCTATGTACATGTACTAGAGCCACTCACAGCCAGGTGCCTGACTTGCCGCCTTGCCCCTTTTGGGGATGCACAGACCATGCGTGTAAACAAGCGAAAGTGAAGGCGGGGCAGGTACTTCCCTGGGCTGTTGCACTTGCCTCCCCAGGCAGGGGTCTAGCACCAGGTATGGCGGTGAACCACATCTCCAACAAAAATCAACACCTCCGCGACTTCTTCTCCCTTGCTCCCCTACATCAACCCGTTACGGATCGTGAAGCTCTGCCTAGCTATCGTGATTCTTCCATCAACCTCACTCTTCACCCGAATTTCCTGTCGTCGACGATAATCCGCCAACATGCGTGAGATTGTGAGTCCCCCCTCCATTGTCTAGGACCCCTCCTCGACGCGTTCCATGGTCGTGCCCCTGATTTTGGTACCCCGCTGTATGAGGAGGCCACGTCCATATACGCACGCCCAACTGATCATCAGGACGAGGCAAAACGCGCTGCATCATCATAATGAACATTGGCTGACGATTTATTTCCTTTTGATCTTACACAGGTTCACCTTCAGACCGGTCAGTGCGTAAGTAAACAAATTCGCCGCTATTTTCGAATGAATTGTTACGGAGACCGGGAGCTTACAATATTTCGACAGGGTAACCAAATTGGTGCTGCTTTCTGGCAGACCATCTCTGGCGAACATGGCCTCGACAGCAATGGTGTCTACAACGGTACCTCTGAGCTCCAGCTCGAGCGTATGAGCGTCTACTTCAATGAGGTAAGTTTGAATGAGCCGAATCCTAGGATGTTGAGGAACCATAGGTTGTTATCCATGGGGAGATCAAAGACTGACGCGGGGACTCCCCTCAAAAGGCCTCCGGTAACAAGTATGTTCCTCGCGCCGTCCTTGTCGATCTTGAACCTGGCACCATGGATGCCGTCCGTGCCGGTCCTTTCGGTCAGCTTTTCCGTCCCGACAACTTCGTCTTTGGTCAGTCTGGTGCTGGCAACAACTGGGCCAAGGGTCACTACACTGAAGGTGCTGAGCTTGTCGACAATGTCCTTGATGTTGTCCGTCGCGAGGCGGAAGGTTGTGACTGCCTCCAGGGCTTCCAGATCACCCACTCTCTCGGTGGTGGTACCGGTGCTGGTATGGGTACTCTGTTGATCTCCAAGATCCGTGAAGAGTTTCCCGACCGAATGATGGCCACTTTCTCCGTCGTTCCCTCTCCCAAGGTTTCCGACACCGTTGTCGAGCCCTACAACGCAACCCTCTCCGTCCATCAGCTCGTTGAGAACTCTGACGAGACTTTCTGCATCGACAACGAGGCTCTGTACGACATCTGCATGCGCACTCTCAAGCTGTCTAACCCTTCGTACGGTGACCTGAACTATCTCGTCTCTGCCGTCATGTCTGGCGTCACCACATGCTTGCGTTTCCCCGGTCAGTTGAACTCTGATCTGCGTAAGCTGGCTGTCAACATGGTCCCCTTCCCTCGTCTGCACTTCTTCATGGTCGGCTTCGCCCCCCTGACCAGCCGTGGTGCTCACTCTTTCCGCGCTGTCAGCGTACCTGAGCTCACCCAGCAGATGTTCGACCCTAAGAACATGATGGCCGCTTCTGACTTCCGAAACGGCCGCTACCTGACCTGCTCTGCCATCTTGTGAGTCCCGTCAATGATGTGCATATTATACGAGTTCGTTGTACTAATTTCCGTTCCAGCCGTGGCAAGGTCGCTATGAAGGAGGTTGAGGATCAGATGCGTAACGTGCAGAACAAGAACTCCAGCTACTTCGTCGAATGGATCCCCAACAATATCCAGACCGCTCTCTGCGCCATCCCCCCCCGTGGCCTCAAGATGTCTTCTACCTTTATTGGTAACTCCACCTCCATCCAGGAGCTTTTCAAGCGTGTTGGTGAGCAGTTCACTGCCATGTTCCGTCGCAAAGCTTTCTTGCATTGGTACACTGGTGAGGGTATGGACGAGATGGAGTTCACCGAGGCTGAGTCCAATATGAACGATCTTGTCTCTGAATACCAGCAATACCAGGATGCTGGTGTTGATGAGGAGGAAGAGGAGTACGATGAAGAAGCTCCTGTTGAAGAGCCTTTGGAGTAAGAGACTCTACGACAAGCTATTTGTATTCAGCCAGAATGTCCGACTTGAATGTGGGCGGCGTGAGTTGGTCAAAGTTTACTTCGCGCTATGGAAGTAGTTACAACCAGAGGAGGTTGCTAGATACCTTTATTATTATTATTGAGCGTTGGTGCCACTCTTGTAGCATTGTACGCTGAGAATTGACCAAGTTGTTGAGTAAATATTACTTTGAAATCTATTTCTATATAAAAAGAACTTGTATATTTGCAGTGCCAGTAAATGCAATGTTGGTACAGCTGTGCATGGCACCTCATTCTGCTGTCAACAAGTGGTACACGTGATGGGATGACTAAGCGACCAAAAAGTTCACCTGCACCCAAAGCTGACCAGGAATCAGTGGCTGTCTATGCAATCCCCCATCCATTCCCACGGCAAAGACAAATCTCAATGGCCTCAAGGTTTGTCCCTGCCAAGGGAAAGGCATTGGGCCATGCGCTGCGCATGAATCCGCAGGTAGCGCTGCTGGGATTCCTGTTGCCAGCGTGGCAAACGTCTGCGCAACGGCACTTCTCGACGACGACAAAACGACCCTCGAAGCTTGGGCGAACGCCGATTTCTATCCCTCCCGGTGTGGAGCTATCCATGAGCGATTTGAAGACATCCAAAGTTGCGACCTCATACAAGCCTACCGTTAAGAAGACAATTATAGTAAAGGGACCGTTGGGTGAGCTCAAGTTCCTTTCTCATGGCCGCGCTTCATAAAGCGACTGGTGGTGCCAAGTGAGAACTGTTGGAAGCATTTGAGCTAACATGGCTTGGGGAACAGGATCGCTGGAGCTTGATGTTCCTGAATTTGTGACTTTGCAGCAGGATTTGGAGAACAAGACGGTCTTGCTGGGCGTTGAGGATGCAAACGTCAAGCATCAAAATGAGATGTGGGGTACGTCGTGACCTCTGTCCGTCAGAATCTTGCAAACACACCATCGCGCGGACAAGTCAAGGTATAGTTCTGCTAACAATTGGTCTACGCAGGCACGTCGTGGTCCTACCTGACCAACTATGTAATGGGGGTGTCCGAGGGCCACACGGCCATCCTGCGCCTGGTGGGCGTGGGCTACCGAGCGAGCGTCGAGCGCCGCGGCGCCAAGGAGCAATACCCGGGCCAGAAGTTCCTCTGTCTGAAGCTGGGCTTCACGCACCCTGTCGAGGAGGGCATTCCGCAGGGCGTCACGGTGACGACGCCCTCGCCGACGAGAATCCTGCTGGAGGGTACGGATCGCGAGGTCATCATGTCGTTTGCGGGGAGGGTGAGGCAGTGGCGGCCGCCGGAGCCGTACAAGGGCAAGGGGGTGTTTATCAACGACCAGACTATCAAGTTGAAGCAGAAGAAGATCAAGTAAAGATTCACAGGTAGAATGTTGGGGGAGGAAATTGGCCATGGCGGATCATGGCGTGTATTTGAACCCGTCAAGTATAAGTGTACTACTAGTTGCGAAATTTATGAAATTCTCATGTAGAGCATTTATAACTGATATTGCGGATTTCATCAATCGATCGAAAAATTCTCGTCTGCTAGCTTTTTAGTCATCAAACCTGTTTTTATTGCCGGCCCCGGTATTGCCTATTGCCCAATCTTCAATACCTCCTGCACAACCCTCAACACTCGGTCATGAACGCCCAAGGGAGCGGCCACAACACCCTTGTTGTTCGCCAACGTCCGACCTACACTGAAATCCAATCTCTTTCCGTAAATATCCGTAACTTGGCCACCTGACTCCCTCACAATCAAGTCACCAGCGGCGTGGTCCCAGATCTTCTCTTGGTAGCTAGCCTTCACTGGCAGACGGAGATAAATATCCCCCGCACCACGGGCAATGGAGCCGTATTTAGCTTGGCTGTCCATTCTGACCGACGGCTCTGTGATGCCCAACTTCTGCGAGATGATGGCCTGATCATCGTGCGAGGAGTGTCCCGCCTCGACGGATTCGCAAAAGGTGGCCTTTGCGAGGTCCTCGATGGGACGCATGCCAATGTGTCTGCTGTCCGGGGAGAGACTGCCAGTCGTTAAGGGTCGGCTACTGGCCCCCTTGTACTCGACCGCGGAGAAGATGACCCCTCGTCCTTCATCGGTGGCGTTGGATCCAATGTCTGTTGTCAAACGAGCCGAATCGTCCACAGGCAAGTTGGGGCAACCGAGTACTCCGACTCTAACTTCCCCGTCGACCATCAATCCCAAGCACACAGCATACTGACCACCTCGTAAAAACCCCTTGGTCCCATCAATAGGGTCAATGGTCCAGATACGGCCCTTGGAACCACCCGGGCTGTTTCCAAGATCAATTAGTTCCAGCATAGAATCGACGCTCTTGATAGCTCCACCGAGCGTCTGCTCAGCCTTTTCATCGTCCAACTTGGTATCCTTGACTAGATCCCAAATTGTCTGACGCAGGTTGGCATCCTCTTTCAGCTGTGCGGCCTCCTCCTCGGCAACGATGGCATCGCCAGGGAAGTTGTGCTTCAGGGCAGCAATAATGAGTGCCTGGGCGCCGAAGTCGCCAATAGTCACGGGAGACTTGTCGTTCTTGTCGACGGTGCCCTTGGCCTTTTCGTGGAAGACACGCTTGGTGAGGATGGTGGCTCGCTGGACGGCGAGCTGCGCGACTTCGAGCTCGTGACTGTAGGACGGGGCGGTCACCATTGTGGCAGTTGGGAGGTGGATTCGACGGAGGAGATGACTGGAGAGCTGGCGGAGGCGGGGGACGGCAGAGTTTGTGAGACTGTGAGGGATGAGGAGCGCCAGCGCGAGGAACAGGACGGCGAAGGCCGAGAGGATGAGGGTATGAGATGGTGTAGGAATACGGTGGGGTGAAGACGTTGCTGTTTTCGGACGAGGTTGAAGGCTGGGTTGCATGTATATGCGCAGGATGAAGAGATTTTGGTACGTGAGAGTGTCGACTGTGTAGGTCTTAGCTGCCCAAGTGAGTGGCAGACGTGGGGTGAGCACTTCAGCTTGATCCTTGATCCAAGCCGGGACGTCGCGATGCCGATGTGGCCGATGGCAAGACGTCCTCGAGGATGATGTCGTGACGAATTCCTTTGGATAGCTGGTGATGCACAACTAACTTCTCCAGTGTATAATAACCTAAATCACCCAATTGAGAAAAAAAAATTAAGGAAAGCAATTTATGAATAGATCCTCAAGTGGACAATTGCAGTTTAAAATAGTCTTTACTTGAGGTGTCGAATAAGCCGTTCATACATAGTTCAGAACTGCCCCGCCTGGTCTGAGCACGCAAGTTGGCACGCACGACACGACATGCCGCAACCACCCTCCATGCAAGCCCCACGCCGACATCCCGAGCCAATCAAAACCAGCTCTCAATCCCGTTCGCAGTAGTTTTCTCTTCGCAAGCCGAATCAAACACAAACCACCATCCACCCGAAACAACCTCCCTCCTCCAAGCCGGCATTGCGATTGCCGCAAATACACCACAACATGCCAACAATGCCTCCCGCCCGCCTGCGGTCCATCTACCGCTCCATCCTGCGCGAACTTCCCCCCCGCCCTGTCCTCGCCTCCCCCCGAAGCCATCTACACAACCGTCTCCGCGCCTCATTTACCGACTCGTCCGCCAGCTCACACGCCGAAGCAGAGCAACTCGTCGCCTACCTGCGCTCCCAGAGGCTGTACGTCACACTGGTAGAGCGCTATAATCCAGGCATGGACATGGACGAGGAGGAGAGAGTGAGGCTGACAGCCAGGCGCGTCGGCATGGATATGCCCGAGTTGTACGCGAGGGGAAAGAAGTTTTGACGCCTTGCCGAGCCGTTGACAAACAAACGGGGGAAATGCTTTCCAGTAAAGGAGAGGCTGAACTCTTCTTAGAAATGGGTCGCGGCAAGGTACCCAAGAATGAACAAGTTGGATGACGTTTGCATCCTGTTTGTGTTACTGTGAACTGGGTTGCCGCGCAAACAACAATTGGGCCGGGCTTGGATTTCAAATGTTCCGATTGCTTCCTACTGGGTGTAACAACAGCAAAAACAAACAAAAACAAAACCTCTGCATTAATCGAACACCAAGGCCGAATGGCACGCCCAACAACTTCTTCTTTAGCGCGCAACGGAAATAGGCATGTACAAACAGGAGGAAAGGGGCCAAACGGCCAACGGGAATTGTATAAACACTGTACAATGAATATAGAAACTTGATACCCTTCATCTGCTCCTTTTCACGGATACTACCCAGCATGTCACAGCGGCTGGCGAATGGCACATTGGATGAAACCATGTAGATTCATTCCTATCGCAGGCCGTAACCTTTTTCCTCATTTGAGGGGGTATCTATCAACAAAGTTCGACTATAAAAGTAACCTAAACCTCCCTTAGGTCATGTATGAATGTCATTAGTCATCTGATCCAACCCAAGAAACGACTGCTCCTCTTCCAACGTCTCGTCCCACCCGCCGGTACTTAGAAGCAATACGCCGGCACGGTCCTTGACTGTCCTGATTCCTTCGCCAAGAGCGCTATTCCACTGTTCCTCAACTAGGCGCACCTTTTCTTGGAGATCCTCTGTTAATCGTCGATCTTCCATCTGTCTCATGCTGTTGGCCCTCTGTTCTCGGTCTTCAGTACTGATAGCTGAGCCGTCAGCTTCGGTGACTTGTGTCTCCAATACCCTTGCCTTGGCATTTACCACTGCTCCCTTGACCTCGTGCAGGAGACACAGTAGGTTGGTATGGGATTCGATGAACTGGCGCGTGCTCTTCTCGGCATGCATCAAAAGACTATAAAGATACTGCAGCGGGTGGTCGTGGTATGCCGGGTTCTCCTCAAACTCGGAAGCGGGAATCTGAATGTTGAATCCCTCAAGGTCTTCTGGAATGCTGTCGAGTAACTGCCGTAGGGGCGGGGCAATGTCCCAAAATGCCGACATTTGCAGAGCAACTCCACGCTCGACAGCCTCCTCAACAATAGTTCTGAACTGTCGGGCCCGATCCAGAACCTCAGTGGCGAGCGAATATTCTCGCTTTGCGGCATCCTCGGCGAAGAATGCCTCCGCGGACCTGAGCTTCTCATTGTTTCCAGAAAGACGGTAAGGTGTAAGTACTACCTCGCGATATCGTGTATTGCGGTCAGATAAAATATCATAAATAGCTCTGTGCAGGGATTCTCTGGTTTCGAAAATCCACTTCAACAGAGTAAGCTTTTCGAGCAATTCAGGTCGGTCATCCCCCTCCTCTTGCGGCATATCAGCATCCATTTGACCATTATCAAAAAGGTGCTTCGACAAGTTGTCATACAGAGCATCAGCTTTTGCGATTTGGGCAGTCAAGAGATCATTAAGGGGGCGGATGACCTCATTCTGGAATTGCTCGTATTCCGTTTTTTCCAGCTCCTTCTTGTTATTTTTCTCTTGCTGTTGAGAATCCGACTCAATGACAGCAGCATCCGCGTACCCGATGTTTCCAGAGCTGATTTCTTTCTGCAAGTTAGCCATCAGTGATTGCCGACGCTCAGACGCTGCCTTGGAGAATTCTTCACGGCGCTTGGAGCTGGCTATTGTGAATCTCTCCTTTACATTATTGATTTCTGCCAGCTCATTTAAAGCTCTGACAGCTGTCCGCGTTGCTGTCAATTCTGGATGGTTATTATTGAGAGCAGGATAATGCCGAGGGTATGGTGGTGGCAGAGTAACGAGCCGGGAAACATCCACTGCGTCGGGCCTGTGATGTGACGTCTGGGACGAACTTGAGTCCGGGGGCGTTCCACTAGAAAGCCGCAACGGTTGCGGTGTCCAGGATGACGACTCCTCTTGGTCGTGCCATCCTGTCTTTTCTCGCGGATATTCCGTGGAAGACTCATATTCGCTCGTTCCGATATAAGCCCCCGTTCCTTGCTCTTCCTCAACCCATTGATCCTTGGGAACTCCCATGTACTTGGATTCTCGCTTGGATCTCTCAAACATGCGAGGCTCACCCTGAGAATCGGTCTCCCACCACCGGCTTGGCGGTCGTCCACGCGAGCTTCCATTTTCATAGTTGTCACTGACGCTCATGCTGAGGATCGGAGAAAGGGATGGCATATAGTTGTTGGTCCAGTTACCTTGTGGCTGGGCGCTGCCAGGCGATGCGGAGAGACCTGCAGAAGCTGGTGCCGAGGTCGACAGCCCTTCACCATGGACAATAGAACTCGTCGAGTCTCTCTGGCAATAGCTTGGATCTGTCGATGCTGGTGTCCATTCATCCTGAGACGCTCCAGACTCCCGTCTTGACGAGGAGACCATTGGGCGAAACAAATCACGACTAAGATCAAAAATTTCGGAGCCCATTGCTCCAATGGCTGAGGAATATCGTTCTCGTCGAATTCGGGATTCGTTTACGATGAAATCGGCAAACAGACGAACTCTATCCGCATCTGACGCTGCAGCAGATTCATTGGCGGCGAATGATCGGAATCTCTCGATTGTAGCAGTAGCAAATTGCTCAGCGGTTTGGCTAATGACTGTTTGTTTAGAAATAGGCGTCAATGCCGATATTGAGGGGCGAGATGAATCTCTTAGCCGTGAGCCAGATGCTGACCGTGTCTGAGGAGGGGGAGTCGGTAGAGCCTTGGGAGCCACGGCTTTGGAGGGTGTAGGCATTTGAACGCCTTTGCCGTGATATGGGGAAAATGGAGGGGTGGCGGCTTCAAGCTGTCCGGACCTTGGCGCTCGTGGAGTTGAATTTCGAGAATCTTGAAGCGGCAATGAGTCGGCTGTTCGAGGCAACTCACTATCCCTTCTGCCTGCGCTACGAGGTGTCGATTTCCCAGCCATCAACCTTTGCATCACGCCAACAGAACCTGAGGGAACAACAATATCTGAAATATTATGCGGTTGTGCAATGGCATCAATGGAGCCATGCGATGTATGGCGGCTTCGGCTCTCAGCTCTTCGTTGGAGTATTGTCTTGTCATGTCGAACTGCCCTGGCTCTATTCAAGCCTCCTGCGCTGTTGGATGATCCTAGCGGATCTGGGACGTCCGTGGCATTAGCAGCAGTGGTAGTATCAATCACCAAGCCAGGGGACCGCCCGCGACCAGACTGGCTCGGTTGGCTCGGTTGGCTGGGCTCTGCATCGGCATCAACCCAGTCCGCGGGTGTGGGAGGAACAGGGCCCAAAGACGTGACACCACTTGGTGGTGGCCGCCTGGTTGGAGGCGAGATGATTGGAACGCTGGCTCGGTCTATGCTTTGAACACTCTGCGATCTTGACGACGAAGGTGGGGGCCCGGGCGGAGGCGGTGGAAGCGGCATTCCAGGCTCCCACCTCGTTTGCGATGTTGACCGGGATCGTTGAGATGTCGGGGTATCAATTGCACCAGTCGAGGCCGCCCTACGAGCTGCTGGAGGTCCGGTGAAGGGAGTACTCGGTATAGGTGCTACAATGTGTTCAGGCTCTGGTTGAGACATGGCAGGACCCGTGCTTCTTCTCATTTGCATGGCAGCTGTTTGGGGATCAGGCGAGCTGGCTTGCGGTTGCTCATGATCCCTTCTCCGCCCAAGAGACGGTAATCCAAATCGGCGATCTCTTGAGCTTCCTCTTCCCCCAGCACCAGGCGGCGGAGGAAACAAAGGGTTCACAGGCGGCTCTGGCGAAGGCCGATGAAGAGGAGATATTGTCAACCTGGATGGAGGCGGAGGCGTTGAGCCCAGCGCAACGGTGTGTTCAAAGGCGGTGCTTATCGGCCGCTGCGTCCTGCTTCGAGGAGGGCTGTATGGGGGAGGAGGCACCGCCGACGCTTGATATAGACTCATGTTAGGATTTGCAGACAAGATAAAAGGCCAATGCAAGTGGGTGAGTTAAAGATTAAAAAAAAAAAGAAGCTATATTCCCGTACCTTGCCCTCCATCGACAGGGAACTGGCGAGACCTGTCGGGCATCTGAGCTGGTGATGGAACCCATTCCTGGGGATTATATGGCTGAATGGCACTACTGGGCGTCTGCGCCGACTGCATAAAAGGAGAAGCCATAGATACGGCAGACATGGGTGAGTTCACATGGTTGCCATATGTATTAGGAGCCAGCGAGTTCGTGGTGAGGAGATTGAGGCCCGGACGAAGTCGCGCTGGATCACGGGGCGAGGCCATGATCGCTTTACCTCGCTGGAGCGCCCCAAACGAGACGGATCTCGCGTGGAGGATGGCGGACTCCCCGATTTCTGAAAATAGAACAGAATGCTTCGCTGTCGGTAAGGATTGCCGCGAGGATAGCAGATCTTGTCGGCGGTTAGAGGATGGGACGCGGTGCAGGTCAGTACTCCGTATGTCGGTCAGATTTGGTGACGGGTCGCGACCCCGTGTGCGTAAAGCATTGCAAACCACTCTCGCCTCGGTCTATTGAAAACGGCGGCTGCAAGACGCAAGCTCTTCGGGAGCGTGTCCCTGCCGGGCAGATCTATTTACAGCAACAGAAAATGGCTCTAGAGGAAGCGCAGAACGTGGTTGGTTGCCGGAGACCTGCAGGAGGCGGTACATGTACAATGTATTGGCGATGACCCCAGAGCCCGGCGGTGGGGAGGAAAGCAAATCCCAGTTTCCGCTCGGGTTTGGGGTTTGGCCAACGAGTGTTGAAGATTGCGGCTTCGCAGGAACGGGCTAAAGTCCAAGCAATGCTAATAACTGGCCACTCGATCGGCAGCACTGCTTTGTAGACGAGCCCATAGCTTCAGTCGAATGCTGACCACAATGCTCTCAGATTGACGGGGGTTAGACGCAGTGTCAACTCTGTGCGCATGCCGTGTGTCTGGTCTGCAGGGTTTAGCTGTTGGGTGTGGGAGATTCCCAGTCCGACCCTGGTCGTCTGTCCGACTACTTCTTCCGTGGTAGGTACGGAGTAGTTGCTCATGTCTAATTGTTTCTATGCAATCAAGACATGGATATAACACTATGGGTTGTACGGAGGATATGAAAATACTTGGCAAAGGAGGCAGCGAGCGCAAAAAGCGGCGGGCGTCAACTTCGCATCATCTTGCCACGCCTTTGGTACTGATGACATCCTTTGTCAGGAACCGTAGCATTCGCAGCCTTGGCCGTCATGCACAATCGAGGGATCACAGTCGAGACAATTGTGTTGTGTGCCGCTTCGGACCTGCCTGTCTTGTATCCCCACGCGGTTAGGGTGGCAGTTGTCGAGCACAAATGCGCACATCACGCCATGATCAGCGTGAAGTGGGCGTTGCCTTGGCCGCTTCTCTATCCTGGCTTGTATCTTCCCATATTATCCTCGAGTGCCTATGTACATACACATTGTATGAGCTATATGCAAGAGGCGAGGGTCAAGGCATATGTGAGTACATAAAAGTCAAGTACATATTATAATACGTCTAAGTACCTGGGTACGGAGTAGTGCATACTGTCTGAACCAAAGCCGAGGTTCTATGTCGCACAATACTACCCTCCACCCTCTCCTACCCTTTTTGTTGGCTTGAGACTTTGGCCGAATTGCACGGCGGACAGACGCCAACGCTTGAAAAGACTTCAGGATACAACGGTTTAATGGGGCGCTTGGTGGGTAGATGCATCAAGACTGCCGTTCCTCCTCAGTCCGCGAGTGGTTTGTCTAGTTGACTAACATTGTTGGTGGTCAAATTCCTGCCGTGGAGGGAGGGATCAGACGCGAACATGGCTCCATGATTGGCCACATCCCTGTGGATGCAGGTGAAGACTTTGGGCGTCGGCGCTTAGTAGCGTCTTTTGTCAACATTGGAGTTGCCAGCCCAGGTGCTCTAATATATGTACTTGAGTATGTAGCGAGTGCCGCCGTCCGTCCATTGGCCTCGGCGGAATCAAATCTGGTCTTGATAATGTCTGGTTGGGGTACGTCTGGTGGTAGTATTCTTCTGCGAGAGGTCTGCGTCCATTGTGCCCAGTTTCTCCACCAGAATAGGCTTCTAACAGCACAAGCATTATTGCCTTTAGTCCATCGAGTCAAATCTGCATCATAAGTAGTCATTCGACCACCCGACGGCGTTGAATGACTCCGAAGGGATCGAATCTCATGAACCCCCAACTGCATGAATATGGCCTCTTCTGCCAGCACCTGTTTGGATCCCCATCTGCCTCTGTTTGGCATCTCGCCGCTCTGTCATATTTTCTGCATTTCTATCACCAGATACCTTGAGATGAAAAGTTGAATCTAGACCAATCTGTCAACCCGCGATACAGCGCAGCCGAAATATCGCAGCCTGCTTGACACAGAAGCCATCAGACAACCTTGCGAAGCATAGCTTATTGCATGGTGGCCGTCGGACCTGGATTTCTCTGATCTCTTGGCCCCGATAACAAACTTTCCTTCCCTCTGCCGTTTGATCAAGACTCGTACTCTGTACAAATATGATTTATACGCAAGGCTCGTTTTGGTCGTATCGTACATGTGTGTTTATGATTCATTGGAGTCGCAACCGAAGTTTTGCAGAGAATCTGTTGCTCATGACATCTCAGACTAGCAATGGTCCCCATGGCCCCTCACTTCCAATGTTGGTTGGTTCAATGTTGGGCACAAACGTGTGCCCGCAAGTCATCGGTTTCTAAAAGAAATTTGAACATGTGAATCGCTATTCTGCACCAGTCATTCACTTCCAATTGAGCTCAAAAGACCAATTTCTCATCACATTCCTAATATCTTGACCAGAGTACAAGTAATCAGTACAAATGACTATCCTCCAAAGAAGCACTTTCACCAGTGACCAGGCTGGGAGAAGCGGATCCAAGACTGACAGAAGCGACCCGTTTTGCGCTTTTATTGGATAGTGCAATATGGTGGGGACACAAGGCTCTTAGAAAATTCTACGAGGTTCTGAGCTTTCGGATGTTGGCTTCTGACTTAACCTTTTCATCTCTCGACACCAGCGATCAAATCTCTCTGGCTGTGTACCTACACATTGTTGACTGCCGTCGCTGCTGCGCCCCAATCCATCCATCACAACGTAAGTACAGTCATTTGCCAATGTCAACGCATCATAACCCCCCTTCCACAGTCTCTCGTGATGAGACACCAGCTGGCACCAGTCATAGAGTGACTTGTACTCCCTTCATTGATGACCAATCTTGCTGTGGTCCAAGACCATTTCTGATTTCCCAGACTGTGGAAGCATTTTTCTTGCTGTTGTTTGCTTTAGCGCTTTGGTACTCATGGAATGTAATGCTAACGTCGCCAGGGTGCTCTCCTTTTAGCTCTTAAATTTCCGAAAACGAATCACCACGATGGTCCTCCATAACCCTAATAACTGGCATTGGGTGACTAAAGATGTCACTGCCTGGACAAAGAAATGGCTCGAGGACAATCTTAACGAAATTAGTGCCACAAACGGCGACGTAGAAGTCAAGATTGTCGAGGTTGAGAGCATAGAGGGCGAAGCTGAAGTCTACCAGAGAAAAGGCAAGGTCAAGACAGTTTTTGACCTGGAGCTCGCCCTGAGATTCGCTGGTAAGGATACGTGAATGTGTAGTATGTAACAACAGTAGAGCCTAGGCTTACTCTCATCGTAGGATCCGCCCCCGATGCGGATAAGGTTTCCGGCACAATCAAATTCCCTGAGGTCCAACCAGATATCGAAGACTATACGGTACGTCTCTGTCTGCGTCTTTGTGATGCTTTTTAAAAGCCAAAGTCGTTTGCCGTGCAAGTCACTCATTCGTCTTCCAGTTCGAGGTAAAACTCGAGGACCCTGCTCCAAAGGAGAACCAGCCTGTGAAGGAGCTCGTCCGCAGCCAGCTTGTTAAAGAGCTGGAAAAGAAGTTCAATTTGATCACGTCTGTCCTTATCGAAGAGCACGGCAAGGATATTCAACATGCCGCTGGTTCAAATCCTTCCAGCGGATTTTCGACCCCGAAGACTCATCCTCAGACTTCTTCACCCAAGCCTACAGAACCTTCCAGTGCCCCCTCAAGCACCTCTGGTATTGTCAACACGACAACAGTGACGGACAAGGAGGAGTTTAGAACTACCGCCGACGAGATGTACCAAACATTTGTCGATCCTCAGCGCCTTGCCGCCTTCACCCGCTCACCTCCAAAGGTCTTTGAGGGTGCCAACAAGGGTGGAAAGTTTGAATTATTTGGTGGAAACGTCTCTGGGGAATATCTCGAGCTTGAACCTGGAAAGAAGATCGTCCAGAGTTGGCGTCTGAGCCAGTGGCCTGCCGGCCACTTCTCCAAGCTCCACATCGAGTTTGAACAAAACAACGTTGATCACGTTACGGTGATGCGTGTGGAGTGGAAGGGCGTACCAGTTGGTCAGGAAGAAGTCACCAAGAGAAACTGGCTGGAGTACTACGTCAGGAGCATTAAACAAACCTTTGGGTAAGCAGATCAGCGGAAGTAAACATATCGTCAATCGCTTGCGCTAACAGGCCATGAACAGATTTGGCACCATTCTATAAAGAGCTTCAAAATGACAACTACAAAATAGACATACATAACATCGAAACGCTCTAGAAGCGGGCATGGGACAACGGGGTTAGGCGTCTCTGCCATGGTGGCGGATGGGCTGGGTGGCTGGCAGCTACTGGTTCTTGTCTTGAAGGGTCTAATCAAGACCTAGAAGCGTGGGGATTACGACAATCACGAGCGATGTTGATGAGCAATACTCTGAATTAAATTAACAAAATTTTTGAATTTTAAAGTACATTGAAGCACACCGCCAGGCCCCTCGCCCAAGTTGCGTTGGATCCCACAGACGCAATCTATACAATATAACTAGAATGCATGCCCAACTCCAATATTCTTCCGCCTCGCTCCCAGTATGTGAGACACGCTATTTACTCTTGGTACGTTTTGTCCGCAGGCCCCGTTCGGCAGGAGGGTCTTCTACTCTCGCTCCAAATGCACAGTCTGCCACAAAAATATCTCCCAAATTATCCCAGAGCCCTAAATCATAAAGATTTTCCACGTCCTTCAAATTCCACACCCGCTCCCACTCGCCCTCACCGGCTAGCGCCATCTGCGCTGGCGGAGGTTTCCCGTCATCCGTCGCTGCCAGAACCATCTCCGGCTCAACCGGCCACCTACGGCAAATAGGCTCTTTGACGAGATCCCTCTCTCGGTTCGAGGGCATGGGTCGACGAAAAGCATAGCCGTCTTCCATATCATCCTTGTACACGGACCACTTAAATGATTCGTTTGTCGTTGTGCCGCAGTACACGAGATACATTGTATATAACAAAAGACCCCAAACTAAGGGGGCCGTCAAACCAGACAGGAGAGTTATGACGCCCAGGCCGATATTTGTTTGAATGCCCCAGCCCCAGATGACAACGTACATGCCCCATCCCTGTTTCAACGGCGACCAAGGCGACCAGTCGACAAAGTGTTGTTTAATCGACGAGGAGAGCAGCGAACCGCCGAGAAGGCCACCGTATGTGCACAAAATAGCGGTTGAGAGGAGGAGCAGTATGAACCACTGGTGGTTTCCGTATCCCACGCACGAGTTGATGAATATACAGTGATGGTCGGCCTTTGCTATGCACCGCTTGCACAGGCTGCAGTGCTTTGAGCGTGGCGGTTTGACGAATCCGCAGGTTTTGCATTCCACGCCGGGGTGGAAAAGCGCGTGGTCATATGGATAGAGCGACATGTGGTAGGCGTGGTTTTCTTTGGTGATGTAGCCGGGGTCAGCGGCACAAGACAGATAGAGGAACAAATAAGGGAGGAAGACGGTGACGGTGACTGTGAGCTTGGTGAAGGGGGCTAAACGGTGCCATATGGGCGGTAGGTAAAGGTATTCCCCGCCTACCATGAGGATGAGGAAGAATATCTAAAGACGGTTGGTTAGTGTTTGCTGTTGTTATGGTACATGAATGATGCACGAGACGATGGTGGCCGATACGTACAACTACGGCCGGATGCCGTTCATGCATGATAAAGTGCCCAAATCTGGATAAGGACCTTGTGATCCTTCCCGAGGTAAGTCTATTGTCTATAGACAGTAACATGTTGGGGACATGAATCCATATCAGACGGTGTAAGAAGCCAATGGGCGTTCGTCTGCATCAGACAACTATCAGCACGACAGAATCTCATATATGCGAAAGGGCCAGGGTCGAGCTACGCACCGAAAAACAGGTAATCTTCCAAAAAAGGTTACGAAGACTGCGAAGCTCACGGCCAAAATGAATGTCACGGCCCATTTTAGAGAGACCATGATGGGCCGAGGCTGCTGGGCAAGATCACCGGCTGTTGACGGCAGACAGTCGCGAGAGCCAGGGTCCGGGGTATCGGGTGACTGATGGAAGAGAACGGGCACCCAGGTTGTAGTACTACTGTCATCGCATCTCGTCGCGAATCACGGCAGCGTCCAAGGTCTCATGCGCAAAATGGCTGGCAGAGTGCAGTTGCTCTCGGCATGAGTTTGACGATGGCTTCTGGTCTGGTAACATGCCTAGGTAAAGTACCTAGGTACTTGTGGCGGAGCACATGCGAGGTCCCACTGGCTCAGTGACCGCCAAGTGACCTGAGCCACGGCACAGTTTGCACCAAAGCCACTTTGCCAGCAACCGTGACCCACGTGATCGCGCGACCCTCATCACGCGTCCAGGTCTTGTCCAACGGTCGTTTGGAGTCTTGACCACGGGACTCTATCAAGTAGGAGGTTGAAGTTGGAATAAAAATAAGCCCTTTCTTGCAACTTGCGCCTGCATGATGAAGCAAGAGCACCTCTTATACCGTTGATGTGGTAGCCACTATTTGTCCTGGGCATATGGGATTATCGCCCACTGCACCTTGGACGAAGCTCACCACTTTACGACACGACGCAGGGCATACGCGTAATTCACTACACGACATCCCGCCGCGGCAAATATAATCCCCAGGATGTCTGGAGGGATCACGTATAACGGCGTCGAAAGCGCCACGGGAGGCAATATTTTTAAGGACATGGTCTTCTGGGTTGCTCAGAGAGTGCCGATGAGGAACACTATCCTCGACCATATCAAGGCAAGCCCGAGAATGAGAATTGCAGTGTATCAGAGGGCGAACGGCTCCCCAGCTAACCAGCGCGTAGAATAACGGCGGCAAAGTTGTACCCTTGGAAAAAGATGCACATATCCTAATCGCGGACGACGCGAGGAAGGATGCCCATCCGGACTCGTATTCGTGGAAGTACATCACAGATTCCGTCCAGTATGGGGCGGCGCAACTGACGGATCGGTATCGTATTTCTGGCCACACAGAGACGCCCAGGGTTCGTGTTGGTGTCAGCGGGCCTGTGAAGCGTACACGAACCCGTTTCTCCGATGCTGACGATGCCGCACTGGCAAACTGGGTGTTGGCTCACACTGAAGGTCGCACTGGCAATAAGATCTTCAAAATATTTGCCGAGACGGTAAGGTCCTAGTCTAAATTACTGACTGACAGTGGCAACGTTAACGAGTCGAAGCATTCTTCGCATACGTGGCATTCATGGCGGACCAGATTCACCAAGTTCTTGGCAAACCTCCCAATCGCAGACCTTGAGAAGCTGGCCATGTCTGCTGCAGACTTGGCTCTCCAAACCACGAACCCTGTTAGTCGGTCAGCTTCTAGCCAAGCAGACTCAGGACAACAAGAGGAACAACTACCAAATGCAGCACAAGCCCTCGGGAAGACACAGAAGAAGCAAGCAGCCCGCACCCCTCACCGGCCGGCGTCTGTGTCGCCTTCTACAGATCCCAATAATGCCCAAATCACTGCCGCATCTATAACGAGGAGCGAACAGAAATCTGAGGAAGCACCAATCTCGTCAACAGAATCTAAGGGAAGCGAAGGCGGTACCCAAGACGCAATGGAAGGCGAATTCTACGATCAATTGCTCATTTTCATGGAGGAGACTGGGGCTAAAATTAATCTGGAGTGCTGCATTGGCGGCAAGACCGTCGATTTATGGCATTTGAGTCAAGTTGTCGATGCGCAAAAGATGCCACTAGAAGAAGTGGATTGGATGAAAGTTGCCGAAGACCTGAAATACAACTTGGTGGAAAACAAGAGCGTAACAGCAGAACTGCAGCGATACTACGAGGATAATCTTGCAGAGTTCTTTGAAATGGTGGAAACCTTCTCTCTCAACGGCGATGGAGAATTTGAAGATGAGAAACATTCTGGACCAGTGTCTCCCGAAAGCGACATCCCTTCCTCACCCCCTCGTCAACTCAGCAACCGAAAGAGGCCCATTGATGATCACACTCCGTCAACCGTGGAGAAGTCATCAAAGCGTACGCGATTGAGTCGCAATGCGGAAATACCGTCAACGCCGGAGGAGATAGTAGGTGTGCTGACGACGCAGTCACCTAGTGTTATAAAAGCCAAGCAATTACGACAAGCTTACTCTAGCTCTACGAAGACTTCTACTTCAGTGGAGCCGTCTCATGCTATCGATGACGATGACGACAACAACAACGAAACCGATGATAGAGATGAGGTGATGGCTGGGACGCAATCCAAACGGGTTCCACGGCTGGAGGCCCAGCACAGTACGTTCGACGTGACACCTTCACAGCAACTACATTCCGAGGCTTTAGATGTAACTCCAATCCCACTCAATTTGAGGAAGGGCCGTGATGACCCAAAAGAGCAGCAGGCTGGAAACTCGGAGCCTGCTCAAGAACCGGAGGCTTTAATTCCAGAGTGGAAGGCAGCAGAGAGAGCGACCAGACGATCATTACCTGCGTCCTTTCAGCCAGCGCCAGGGCCTTTACCGTCTCAGCAGGCCGAAGCAAGAGCCAGGCGACCGTCAGCGCCCATTCGAGTAAACCTAGACGATGAAGGAAACAGCCAGGACATCCGCGAATGTACTGAATTCTATGAGGCTCTTGGCTATCCGCGCCCCATTGTCATCGAATCGCTCATGCGCACCACAATGACGCCAGGCTGGCCGATGACCTCACTGCTGGAAAAGTTGCATAATAAAGAAGGTGTGCCCTCAAATTATGAGGGAATCTGGACCGACCGCGATGACAAGAGCTTGCGATATGCCGACGCCATCGAGGCTCGTAAGTCTTCTGCGAGCACGAGAGAGCTGAACAAGGCAAAGAGGGAGCTTGATCGGATTGTGCGCAAGCACACTCAGGAAGCGGTCGATTTGAGACGGCGATTCCTGCGGGCGCAAGCCATCATGGACAGGCATTGATCCGTGTCTATATGCTGTAGGTTTACAAGCCTCTGTAGGTTTACAAGCCTTGTTTAATAACTTGAGTTTTCATAACACAAACCAGACATTGATGTGGTTTGTAGACTCTGTACACGATAGTCTTGTCGGAGCAGGATACGCGTTTACCACTTAGAAGTTAATAATGATAGATACCCTGTTATTTTCATCACACTCCAATACTGCTTCTTTTCCCTGCCATAATATTTCTTATCCCATAGACGCAGTGGACATCTTCAAACCCTTACCACCCTCCCTCATGCTGAACGATACGGCCCGTAATGCCATCCCTCCCTCGCCATGTCCCCCCTAACCTTGTACACACTCTCCGCCATATCCAACAATCCCATGTCAACCTCAAAAATCCTCATCTCCTCCGCCGGCCCCATCGACTCCCCGCCTCCAAGTCTCCCCACAATCGGGACAGCAACCTGGCTCACACCACAAAACGTATTCCCCCTGCCATCCTTGCCATCCGTGCTACCCTTTGGCGCACCGCTATTGACGTACACTATCGCAGCAGTATTCTCAAACGCCCTCGCAATACAGACGTTGTCCAAAAACATCTTTTCGCAATTCGGATTCAGATCCGAGCCCTCGCCACCATCGTCGGCCAGCCAAAACGACGGACTGATTATCACTCTCGCGCCATCCGCTACAAGTGCCTTGTACGCTTCGGGGAACGCGATATCCCAGCAGATCAGCATCCCCATCCTACCCCACGGCGTATCGAACGCCGTGTGCGGGGACTCTATGTCGGCCGCGAGGTGCGGCCGCTCAGGGTGCCAGAGATTCTTCTTCTGATAGCGGCCCAGGACGGCACCGTCCGGTCCAATGAAGTAGGCGACGTTGGCGAGGCCGCCCCCGGAAGACGTTTCAGGTTCCAGGAGGGTTCCCGGAACAATGGCCATGTTGAGCTCCTTGGCGAGCGCGCGGTATTTCTCCAGGTATGGCGCGGACTGGGCTGCTATCGAGGCGAATTCGACAGCGTCGGGGACCCAGCTCGCGAGGTGGTACTCTGGGAGGACGGCCATGTTGGCGCCCTGGGAAGCGGCATCGCGCAGGTAGGCTTCTGCGCGGGCAAAGTTGTCTGTGGGCGCCAAGGGCTGAAGTTTCGATACATTGGTGAGCTCTGTACGACTTTGGGGATTTATGCATGGCACGATGGCGAGATTGTTGAGATGAGTGGGTGTTCTTGTGGGTGCTGGTGTCAAGTCACGCACATGTCTTGGAGGTTACATACCTCAGAATAGAGTTGTATTGCGGCTATTTTTATTTTCGTGGCCATCGTAATTTACCTGTGTACTGTGTTCTCTCGTAGATGTTGGTCCTATTTTGATGAAGGGACCAGAGCTTGTCCGACGTTGGCCGCACCGCAGCTCTCGTGTTGTCATATCCGCTTTGGTTTGTCGGCTGGGTTCCTCGGGCGCCGGCCACACGAACGAGCTTAGTGGCTTTCTCCACTGGTGAGATAATTAAAAAAACAAAAGATCCCGGGATATCTATTCCATTGTAAAATTTAAGTGTCAAGTCCGTATGCGTAATACCACCTCGAATGCGATCCCATGAGCAATGTCCTTTCGCTTCGTCTATGCCTCCATCCACCCAAAACTAGGGTCACATCAACCCTACCAAGGTACGCCTAAAATAAAACATCAAACCCAACCCAGTCCCATTTATCGTAAGAATCCGGCAACGACCTGCCCAGGTAGATGATTGTGTAGAGTATCGGACCCATTTGCTGATAACCCCTGCTCAAATCCCAATGTCATTGCGCCCATAGCATTTATCAAAAATGTGATGAACCATCTCCGTTTATAGTTTCGTTAATATGGTCATTTCTTGATATAAAAAGTCCAGAGGAAAACAAGTATTCCGAAAACTCGCCCCCATGCATGTTTGCAAATGTCATCAAGAATCCGGCAATTTCGCCTGCTGGGTTGTAAGTTGGGGCTGTGCGGGTGAGCAGTCCGGTATTTGCTACGGAGTACTCACCAACGCCTAATAGTAATATGTTTCGTGTGGCCGACGGTTGAAGCCTGTAAGATCCGAGGACTAGCGATACAGCTGGGCAAATTATGTACGGCCACCAGCCAACCGAGCCAAGGTCAGAGAATGACGCCCTCAGATTACCCATGGAAAATGAAGCTGCCTCAAGTGATGCCAGTAGGTAAGCGGTTTCATTCTGTGCCGACTGAAGCATTTCTTGGTGAGAGTGATGTTTATCGGCCACCAGATCTGCAAGAAGACTCAATTCCTCCATCCCCTGCTGGAGTTAGACAAGCGCAACACGAACAAATATGTGGTCCATACCTCTTGAACCCGCTCCTGTTTACGCATTACAACAGATAGCTGGCTTTCAGATTTTTTCTATAACAAATTAGAATGTTCTCTCAGCTAGAATAGTCGCACTCACCAGTTGTTCTTGCAAGCTGAGTGATGACATTGCGACGGCCGTCAACATCTTCATGACCTCATGAGCATCTCGGTTAATCTGCGTTACAGCTACTTCCAGAGCAGTCTCAAGTGTGCGGGCATGCTTCTCTTCTCTCAAGCTCATCATGCCGAGTACTTCTTCCATCAATTGCTGAAGAGACCTGGCCTCATTCAAGCCTTTCTGGACCACCATTTCAGTTTCCTGGACATATGTTAGCTTCTTGACTATGAATAGAGGCTTTGCTTTTAGATACTTTGGATTTGGATAAAATAGAATGGGTAATGACTTGTTCAAAATACAGCAAGCTCGCGTTAAGTCCCGCCACGTGGGCTGTCAAAGTCTTCGCGTTGTCGCTGGACTCTCGGAACATTCGATCGAGTTCGTTTAGTCGATTCTGTACTTGGACCTCGGCATCAGTTGTAAGTCTCTCGAGAATATTTGCAAGTTTTCGATGAAGAAAAATATGATGATCTGGGCAGTTAGCCGGGTTTCACTTTGGTAGAAAACTGGCGCAAATACCTTTCTCGCCGTCTGCTCGAGCGGCTTCACAAAATCCGAGTGCTTTGTGGCGATAGGCCACCCATGTGCTCCAAGCCGAGTCGGATCGCGCCAAGCCTTCGAGACAGTCATCGATCTCGCGAGTTATTACATGAAGCTCTGGTTTGGAAGGTGCCGGGAGATTTGCCAACACAGGCTCCCGAAATTTATGGCACGTTGACGGTATCGCAAAATTGGCTCTCTCCAAGTCGCAAATTGCTAGACTGGCAGCAAAGAAATCTACAAAGTCTCTTGCCGCTCTGCCGGTGTTGGTCATCACCGTTGCATCATTCCGGCCATCCAATAGTTGGCAATTATTTACCAACAGTCGAGCTGCAATTCTGTGACAGAAGGGCTCCGACTCCAATTCTTGCAACTCACTCAGTGCCGCTGCAAAAATACTAGGGTTTGCACCGCTTGCATAAGGTGAGGGAGGAGGAGACCGGAGCGCTTCTTCAAGAGGCTTGTCAACTTGTGGCTAGCATTAGTACCGATCATTTATGTTTGACAACATATGCACTTCTTGCTTACCATATTTCTGTTCCGGGCTGCGCCATCCCATGGCCGATGTCATGCCACTAAGCGAAAGCACGACAATTCCTAGAATTGCGCCATAGCGCATAATGAAACCTCTTGGCTTCGGCATCTTGAACAGCTCATCGATGTCAATAAGTGATCGTGATATGGCTAATCATCTGCTCTGTCAATCGTCCGAGATGGGGCTACCCAGGAACTTCAGAAGTAATCAGAGAAAATATTTATGCGAACAAATAGACGCAATGTGCGAACTTTGAAAAGTGCCAGAGGTGCAGACACTGGGGAGGGAAGGTGCAAGGATGAGCAGTTGCCAGTTGGCATAGAATTCTGTGGGCGCAACTTCCTATTTTTCGCATGAGGTCACATAAAACTGAGCGTTGAATGCCAGGATATGTATTATTGTTAGGCTCAAAAGGCGGATGGCCTTAATCGCCCCAACCCTACGCTTTTCTACGCGCCCGTTTCAGATGACTATGGTCAAGTCTCGCAGAGATTTCATTTCATCTCTTAATCGGAACAATACTTTCGGGCGGTCCCTGGGATAAGGTTCCAGAATATGAACAGGCATTACTCGATCGTCTTTTCGTGGGACCCGAATATCACCACCATCAGGCGAGGACATGTCTAACCCATGGACAATAAGCGCAGCAAACAATAGGATCTCGTTTGTAGCAAAATGCCTCCCAGGGCAAAGGGTCTTGCCGCCACCAAATCCTCGAAAGGCTGCTGGGTGAATACCACCAGACTGGGCCTTGGGGGCGAGGAAACGCTGCGGATTGAATTCATCCGCATCATCTCCCCAGATAGACTTGGCGGCATGGATGATTCCCCCAGCAATTTGGACCACAGCATCTTTTTTTAGAAAGTATCGGACGGTAAGGAAAATATCTTCCTTGATAAGTCGAACAGAAAAGTTTTCAGATCCAATGCGCAAGCTCTCTCGAAACACAGCAACCAAAGTTGGGCACCTATTTTTCAATATCCCGATACTCAATCTCTTGGAGCCCTCTCGTTCTGTGCTTGCGTTCAGCGCTTCTGCCACTTCCCGTCGAGCAATGCTGAGCAACTTTTTGTTCGCAAAAAGGCGAAGAACCACCCAGAAAGTCGTGGTTGTGGTGTTAACAATGCTAGCGAAGATAAATGACAGCGCAGAACGTGCAATCATTTGCTTGTTCATGCCATATTCTTCTTCGAGCCGCACGCGGTCCCTTGAGATCTGAGCCCCGTCCTTTATATGACCAGCTTCAAAATATTTCATGAAGGCGGTAACCATCCGTTCCCTACCCTGATAGGCTTCCGAAGCCGTCAGGGAAGGGAGGAAACCCATCAATAGACCGCCGAGGCCTTGATCAAAAGCCCAAAAGGCGGCTTCCAGCCCCGGATCTTCAGCTATGGGGTTTCGCGGGCCATAAAGATATCTCGCCGATCCCACGGTCACTAAATGGCGGGCCCATTGCAAGAGATCCAACTCTCGTTCTGTCTGGCCTAACTTGTCGAAAGATGCGGCAAACTCAGTAAGCTGGAAACACAATTCCTGGCCTGCTTCGCAGCTCAGAGAATTCAGATGCCATCCAGGACCCAAGGCGCTGTAAACGACATTGTGGACATCGGCCAAAAATCCACGAGGGTTCCCTGGCTCCGGATCGAGGTTCTTTCTGATTCTTGCCACCGTCTCATCGTCCAAACCGAGCACTCGTTAACCATGGTAATATCTGGGACAAGTGGGGTAAAAGACAGAGTCTTTACATTTCGCTGAATAGACGCAGCCAAGGACGGGTCTGTAACCACATAGATACGAGAGCCAGGTACCGGGAGAGTAAAGATTGGCTCATTTGGATGCGACAGGCTGAGCTGCGTTAGCAGGGTCGATCTCCAGAGAGCACAACACGAGACATGAGCAAGGTACCCCAATTTTTTTATATACCGACCGCCATATATAGCCATGCCAACTAGATGGCCGATGAATGGAATCCATGAAGGTAATACAGTCGGCTCATTGGGATGCACCTTTCTTCCGGCAGCAAGACGAAGAGCCACCACTGTTGTGAGCAGTCCCACGATCAAGCTCGCCGCACCTGCGGGTAAGATATTGATGTCCATAAAAGCCATTGCACAATCGCCCAGTTTGGCTCACACGGCAGGATGCGGGTTGAATGCAGCTCCCGCCAGCGGGCCATCTATGCGTCAATGCACTTAATAGGATGCGACTACTTGCAAAGCTGTTAAAGCCACACGCTGCGGTCAAGCATTGCGAAGAGGGGTCGTCGGCGTCGCACCCAGGCTAAATCGGCCTGATTGCGAAATCGAGATTCGAGGTCTGATGCTCTCCTAGTCGGTATGGTCTTTGTTTTTCTGTTCGACTGATCCGGCACTGGTCCCTTGATTCCATTGACACAAGCAACGGGGAATGTACAGGCTTGTTGGTGTTGACAGACCGAGAACATAGTACAACAAGCTGCTTGACGCCCGGTGGACCAGGAGATCGCCATAGCTCCACTACAACTACATATGGTACAGCTCAAATGACTGCGGTGTTTGCCAGTTGTTGATAGGGCATGCGTCTGCGGCCATTTTGTTCGGATATGCGCCTCCAGCTTCCGGTGACTATATTTCAATGGAAGGGTGACACTGTACATGCACAATGCACGCAACAAAGCCAAACAGCCCTTCAACATACGGAGTGCCGCTGGTGAAGCGATTTTTGATTCCTCATATTTCTGCTGCGTCCTGCTTCGGTTTAGCTTACTAACCTAAGTCTGCCGATATGACAGATCTCGAGGACCCGCACGACCTTGAGTGAGGGTGGGAACGCGGAAGCACGGAAGCGTACCCAAGACTGGCAGTGGAAAAATTCAAGTCCGGCAACAGAAAATTTACAACTCCCGAGGACCATCTTCACGGCCTTGCTCGCTGCTGCGCTGTCTGTCCCACGGCTGCCGTCAAAGTCGAGTTTTGCAGCGCAGCATCGACCAACTCTGCACGCTCATATGCTCAGCCGTTTTCACGATATTAACATCGATACATCATTTAATATCCGAACTCATGATACCGTCTGTTATTAGACAGCGGTCATTGAGGCATGGTTGAAACCTCGGTACTTCTTAAGGGCTCTAGAAATGCATGGACGTTGTTTGGAGTCACAGTTTCTCATGATGACACGTTTTCATTGGCACAAAAATCACCGTTAAAATATACCGACGATTGGGTCAACGTGGATTAATCGGTGGAGGTGGACAAGCGACAGACACTGCCTGGATGATCCGACGACGCTAATACACACCGTCCAAACCGTCGCCAGCATTGGCAATTTGTGTTGCAAGCAGGGTTCTCACATAAAGGGGAAATGTGCACGCAGGTGGACAAAAGATGGGCATGCGGACACGTCGGATACTATCAAATCAAACGGTGTGAGCGACTGTTCAACGGTTGCAAGGGAACCACTGAAAAGCATGATATCATCGATGAGCCCGAAGTGTGTAGTGACTGCCAGCGTCGCCAAACACTTCCGAAGCCCCATACAGCCAAATAAGGTGTTCATGGGCATAGAAGAAATGGGATTACACGATATCCTTCCCCGTTCATTATGCAGCGTCCTCGGCAAGTCAGAGATTGGTATATCTTTTTGTTTTTCCTTCTCATTTACGATGCTCCTGGATCACTTTGAAAGCGGGAGTCAGAATTTAATGAATATGGAAAGCCATGTTTTGGTGGCATCGCGGATGGGGTATGGGGTGTAGCTCGCCCGTCGATTTGCTAAATACGTACTTAAAAGATTCAAAAACGCAGCACATGGAATGAATACCAATAGCTTGTGGTACTTTTGGGGGGGGGGGGATGTGACACCCAGAAGGTTAGAAGGGTGCAGACTTGCCGCATGCTCGTCGATGTTACTATCCTTCAGATAAGCGGCCCTGGCTATAACACATACTCTTAGAGGATTAGTATTATTCGATACCTGCTCATTCATTATCCCCGATGGCAAATCCGTAAGATCAAGATGATCTTGGGTGGCGAGCCCCTCCCGGTTTGTTCGAAACATGGAGTTGTTCTTGAAGGCCCGCTCGAGCAAGCGCGGGGAGAAAGGTAATGTGATATCCCACGGCCCGGAACCCGCACATTGGGTCTTTCCACACGCGCGGTTCAGGTGCCGGCGATGGAGTTTGCGGGATGAGTTCTCGCACAGACCGCCAGCATCATGGTGTACAACGTATGTATGTACAGGACGAAATACCATGATGCAACTACGCTGCAACGGGAAGGACGCACGTCGGGAGTACATGCGTATGTACTTCTTGGGGATGTGACAGGTCCCCTAGACCCCAGGTTACAAGCAAAGATGGCCTGTTAATAGATGGATGGGCGAGAGAACTCGCGGACAACTGGGCCTTCTGGGCCTTCTGGACCTTCTGGACCTTCTGGACCTGCCGGCTGAAGCTTCTGGACAAGGCTGAATGCGCCGTAGATGAAACCTCGGAGCAAACATCAACCACGGTTGGGAGAGGTCAACTGGTGTCGCAAAGGGCCGTGGATGGAACATTGAAGCGCAGGGCCAATCAGTCAAAGGGGCGGGACAAAATACGTACTAGTAACTACTACGCCGTAGACACACCAGAATGTGCCAGACATTAGACGTCTTCCAGTGGTACGGAGCACAAGGCCCCACCCTGGCGGCGAATTGATGCAGCGGCTTGCCTAATCATACGATCTCCCACTTAAATGCATGGGCTGGATTCAATCTTGTGGCTCTTGCGTTGGGTGTGCGGCAACTATGAATCGTGGAGCAACCTCATGTCACGCCATTTGGGCCTCGGAGAGCAGCGAGCGGAAGAGGAAAATGCCATGAAAAGCAGCCCATGTGCCTGCAGGTACTGTGTCGACTGGGAAGCCCAAGCCGGGAGTCGCCGACCACCAAGCAGCGTTGCCCGGAAATTTGTGCCCGGGCGAGGAAACCTGTCCAGACAGTGCTGCGCATATGAACGCGGTCTTGTTCAGATGCGTGTTGATGTCTGGTGCGGAGCCTCTCGTTTAGCTTTGCACCGGCTAATCAATGCATCTTGTTTCTGAATGCGTCAGCGGGAACCCGTTGCCATCGTCAATCCTCATTTCTGGCAGACACCAGACTCGCCAACTCGCCAACTCGCCAACTCGGTATTACTCGATAGGCGCAGACCGGATCCATTCATTGGCCGCGGACTTGGCCGGCTGTGGCTGCACTTGGCGAACTCTGCTCCGTCTTTTGCCTGAGCAACTGAACTGTGAGGACAGCCCGACTTCTCTTCGATGCCATCTGACCATCTGACCCTGCTGCGGCCAACAGTCATGCATGCGTTGTTCCCCTGGGTGTCGAAAATTCTCGAAAAACCAACGCTAGGAATTTGAATCGGCCTGCCTTTTGACTGCCGAGCCCGCTCCAGCTCTGATTTAAACAGAGGGATCGACTCCCGAGGGGAGCTTGACCCAAGCTTGTATGTAAGTCGGTGGGTTAAGACAATATATTGAGCCAAGCCAAGCTGTTTATTATCAACGCCACGAGACCGGTTCCTTCCCTCCGGTCGAGCCTACCGTAAGAGCTTGTTGGCCCGGGCGCACGTTTCTTCAGACGACAGCTTCGACGTGTCTGGTAATTCAGTTTTGGTCTCTCATGAAGCGCAACAACCATACCATACCCGACAAACCATCGCAATCAACAGGACCGCCAATTTGACATAGCATCACTTTTCGCAACCCGCCTTCTCCCGTAAAGGCTTCATACATCATCCCATTACGATATCGCGCCTCACCATAATGATGCACGACAATGTCATTAGAGAGCAATCGGTAAGCAGCATGGAACAAGACCTCTCGTCTTCGCGACAAACCTCCCAGCCTGCACAAGATACATCAAGCTGGGGAACGTCGGCCGCCTCTGCCGGGATGGGTACATTTGACTTCACATCCGCTCCTCCTGATGTGTCGATACCATCGTTCGACCCGGCAATTGCTGCATTTGCCGACCTGTCTTTTACACAACCGCCCCACGGGTCACCCTACCAGACGGGGAAGAACACAATGACGAGCCCCCAGTCCGACGCACTTCTTCAAGGCCGGGACTTTCACGACAAGAAGAGGATGAAGGTCGAATCCGATACCCCCGCTTTAGATTCCATAGATTACTGGATATCATTTGACGACGACCTGGACAAGATGGGCAGCTTTGAAATTGATTATTCCAGACGACCCGATTTACTCAGTCAAAACAGGTAAGCTCAATCAAGAAGAGTCTTTTTGCAAGACGAGACGTGCTGCGGGCAAAGACTAAACGACGGTAACCAGACCCGGTATGGCATCCGACTCGATACCTGGCCTTGGCAGCGGACTGTACTCTGCCTCGACTGCGCCATTTCGAGAAGAAGACTTTTTCGATGATAGCGCCTTTGAGCAGGTTCTCTCCGACGACGAGGAAATGTTCGAAGCCACAGCCAAGCCAGGGGAGAAGATGACACAGCTAGAGAACACATCAACATCACAACAACCCCTCGACAACAACGCAGCGCTTTTCAACAGCGCGCAGGGGACGGATAAATTTCAGCCGGGATCACGGCTTGAGTCAACATTCAAAGATGTGTCCAAGCAAATGCGACGGACTGGCCCGCAAGATGCGGAGCCTGATATTGATGAACAGCGACGCTTTCTGGAGGAAGCATTAAACTCTGGTAGAATTCCTGGAGCCCTCATCCCACCAAATGGGTTCGGAGTAGGATTTGGTGCCGGCATGGGATGTAGGCCACCACAGGAATTCATAACCCGACCCCTCAGCCCGCTGGGAAAGCCCACGGAGAGTCAAAGCACATCAAAAGACACCAGCAGAGCGAAAACAGGAGAGATGCTGGACGAGACAGAGTCGAAAAAGCCGACTACGAAGCGGCCAACGACAAGCAGAGCTGGCTCCTCAAAGAAAGCAACCACGGCAGGAGCACCAAAAGCTCGGTCTGCAGATCGAATAGCTCACAATGATGTTGAGAGAAAATACAGAACAAATCTAAAAGATAAAATCGCCGAGTTGCGCGCCGCCGTGCCTGCGTTGCAAACTTCTGGGGGTGACGGAGACTCAGAGGGTGGTTCTGCGGGTG